AATGATCTATCTTAGCCATTTTTTTGTCCTTGAAACATTAAACACCACTTTTTCAGGCATTATTATTTTCATTATGGTCATCTATTTATAGCAATTCCTTAGTATCTCTTTGCCTAGCTATACTAGTTAGGACACAGATTGGGCTCCTCTAAAAATAGACAGTTATTTTCATCTCACAAATATGAAAGTAAGTGGTCTGCAGTTTAGTTGATAGCTCAATAATGTTAAAGTCCAGGGCATCTATCTTCTCAATTCAGAGTTCATCTTGCATTCAGAAATAGTTCATCTTCTTCTATCACATCCACATTTCAGCTAGTAGCATGGAAAAAAGAACAAATGGGTAGATAGGAGCCTCACTTTCAAGGGAATGACTTGCAAGGTGAAAATATGACTGTCTTTTGTATCCATTAGCCAATAGTTTATATTTTAACATTTCCTTATTTCTGCTGATTTAGCTAAGCAATTTAATTATTTTACGCCATGGAATACTATGCAGTCATAAAAAAGGATGAGTTCATGTCCTTTGTAGGGACATGGATGAAGCTGGAAACCATCATTCTCAGCAAACTATCGCAAGGACAGAAAACCAAACACCACATGCTCTCACTCATAGGTGGGAATTGAACAATGACAACACTTGGACGCAGGGTGGGGAACATCACACACTGGGGTCTGTCGAGGGGTGGGGGGAGGGGGGAGGGATACCATTAGGAGATATACCTAATGTAAATGATGAGTTAATGGGTGCAGCACACCAACATGGCACATGTATACATATGTGACAAACCCACACGTTGTACACATGTACCCTAGAACTTAAAGTATAATAAAAAAAATTATTTTCTCCCTGGATAATTTACAAGTTATTCGAGATATTTCTACTCCTTTTTTAGGTACATAACCTCTAAAATATAAACAAAAATAAAAAATTAGCTTAATTCCTACACAAAGATGCTCTTTTGTAAAAACAAAACAAAACAAAAAAACATGTTTCTGCCCAAAAAGACACCTGGCCTTTGCACCCAGTTTCTTTGGGGTAACCTGAAAACCTTGTAATTTGTCAATAATAGAAATGACTTTGTTATTCAGTAGGCTCTTTTGACCACATTTAATCATTTGTGCTATTGAGATGACTTCTGTCAGGCTCGTTAGATAATGTATGCAAATAAGATGGCTCAAGATAGGGGCTGGCCACACTAGAAAGAGCAACCATGTGACTAGAGGTCTGGCACCTGCAGCCACATGGTATCAGCCCATTCCCCTCCAGGGAAGGGCAGTAGTAGCGGAGACTCAGTTCAACCACATGAACAGCAACACACTCAACAATACCTCCCTGATCAAGCCTCAGGCTTGAAACTCTGGACACCAAAGCTGTGGTGAGATACTTGGGTTGCCAGTACCCTCTGTATATATTTCCATACATCAACTCTGGGAGGATAACACATCCCTGAGAACATGGAATCTTTGTGTTCAGAACACTTGCCGTCTTAATTTCTGCCCTATGTGTCCTTTCCTATGGCTGGTTCTGATTTGTATCCTTTTGCTATAATAAAACTGCTATCTTAAATACAGTGCTTTCCTGAGTTTTGTGAGGTTTTCTAGTAAATTGTTAAACATGAAGGAGTCCATGGAGACCCTCAAATTTGTAGTAAATTGGTCTGAAGTAAGGATGGCTCGCAGGACACTTGAATTTGTGGCTGGTGTCAGAAATCTGGGCAGATTGAGAAGATTTATAGGACTGTGCCTTATCTGTGAATTTGCCTAATTCTCTGTAATCTATTTCACTGCTTCTCCTCCACTCTCCCTAATAAACTAAGGCCATAAGAACACTTTCACTACTCTCTCTCTTATATTATCTCTCCCTCCAAATGAAGTGATTAAAATGGTTTACACCTCCTCTTTTTCCTACTCTTACCTCAATTATTTCTGACAATGTTTATTACTCTTATTTCTGAATTATTATTAGAAGTTATCTGGAATGAGTTTCCTGTATTTCAGAAACCTTTATTTAATATTACATTGTTATTTCCAAATGATTTGTCACTACTAATTTACATTTAACTGTAAGCTTTATGCTCATCATTTGTTTCCTTCCCAAAATTCGTTTTTTTCTGTCTTGAGTTCTGACTTGTTTCTCCTAATATTTGTTTAATAATTCAAGTTTTACAACATTTTTCTCAAATGTAGTATAAGAATAGAGGTCATTCATCCCCATTTTCCTAGGAAGTACTATTACTTTGGTGTGGATTATCGATAGTGTCATCTTTCACATTCAGTTCGAATGATAAATTATATGCCAGTCCAATTTTCCTAGAAAGTCCTAATTTATGCTTATTGCTATAGTATAATCATTAAGAGTGCCATCTTTCACTATCAGTTGGAATGATAAATTATGTATTATTGCCTATGTAAGGGGACACACATTTTAAATTCTCAATTATCTATGTATGTATGTATGTATGTATGTATGCATGTATGTATGTATCTATTTATCTATCTATCCTATCCTATCTATCTATCTATCTATCCATCCATCCATCCATCCATCCATCCATCTAATATCTGTCTGTCTATCTTGCTCTTACGTGTTAACACATTGACCAGGTATAGGTTTCTGGGGTTTTAACTCTTATGTATTACTCATTTATATTTAATTCCACCATTTTCTAGTTTATTTTACTTTTGTAAGAACTTTGATTTTTCTTTTTGAGGCTTTAAGGGCTGCTTCCCTTTATCTTCAAATATAGAAATTTTTATGCCTAAGTCCATGGTCTTTTTTATCACTCGTCCCAGGAAATCAGTACATCTTTTAAATTTATAAAATTAAACCCTCTGTTATCCCAGGGATATTTTTGTTGAATGAATGTTAAATTAGCGTAACCCCTACATCAGTTCCTCTTTCATATTCTGGAAATTCTATTATTGGCATGTTATATCCCGGATCTATCCTTAGAGTCTTTTATCTTTTTCATCAATATCTCCATTTAAAAATGTTTGCTCTAAGTTTTCTTTGATCTTCTAGGATACTAATTCAGTTCTCAACCAAGGTCATACTTTCTTTGGTTTACTTATCAAATTGTTTAGTTTGGAATCATGATTTTTATTTTTTTAATTTAAAAAAGTTATTCCTGTGAGTCTTCATTTGAATCTTATTAAGTGTTCATATTATTTTTCTATTCAAGTTGACATTTTTTTCCTCCAACAGCTATTTTTTCTCTCTGCAGCTGTGAGAATTCCTTTAATATGCTATGACTTTTTTTTTTTTTGACTGAGCACAGGGGACTCTATTGATAGTACACAATAAGGCGGGGTTCCCTCAGCCCCTCCCTCTCCAGGAGGTCTGAATGGAAACTGTGAGGAAGGGAGATTCTCAGTGTGGTGGGGGACTGAGTGTGGCAGGGACTCCCCAGCAGTGAGAGCCTCTCTTTTCCTCTCATGCTCTTGCTGGGGCTGGTGGTCTGGGGGTCTTACTCCTTGGAGGCCATGTGGGCCATGAGGTCCACCACCCTTTTGCTGTGACTTTTCCTTATCACCTTTCTAGAGCCAACTTCTGGTATTGAAATTTCCTAACTAGTAATAGACTCACAAATCATGGGAGCCAAAACGTGTTCTACCCCTTTGAGTGAACAGCACACAGCAGAGATCCTAGATTGATGGAGCTCTGAATGGTCAAGAAAGGGAATTCTTGCAGATCTTCCTAAACTATAAGTTTAATAAGCCGCATATCTCTACCTCCAAAGTCCAGTCTCACTGTGCTCCAGATTATTGATACTGTGGAAAGGATGACCAGAAATTGAGAGAAGTAAGCAGGCTTACAGTGGGAAGAAGGGCTCTGGTCCACTTACTGCTCCAGGTGCATAACAGGAAAAAGCAGAAAAGAGAACCCACCATGACCATGCCCACGACCTAATGTGGCTGGTCATCATGCTGTGTCTGACCAATCAGATAAATGACACTCTTCCCTCAAGAATAATGAGAAAGGAGGCAGGACAATGAAGCCATCCCTGGGATTGGGAGAGTAGAGTAAGCTTTCTTTCCCTCTAAAGACCCATCCCAGGTGCTAGAGTTGATGAAAGACATGAAGAGAAATAAAATATAACATTTGTCATCAGAGAGCTCAATGACTAGTAGATAAATCAGGAAGGTAATCCAGACAAATAGAAACATAATGGAAGTTTGTTCAAGATGATATGTGACCCAGAGAAGAGTATCATAAAATCTACTAGATAGGCTTTATAGTTATGTCCCCGAGCAGGTAATGTCAAAGTAAACATTCAAGGTCATCTTGAAAGATTAGGAGTTTACCAGGTGCCAAAAATTTACTTTATGCATAGAAGCAAGCTGTGCTAAAGAATCAAGATATAAAATAGCATAAGAACTCCTTATGTAACTAGAGTTCCAGAACCAGGTTGTACAGAACTGAGAGATTAGGCTGAATAAGCAACAGGAATCAGAAAATGAATGTCCTAAGAAGTCTTCTATATCATGCTAAGGAGGTTTGAGTTTTGTCCTACAGGTGATAAGGCAAGTTCGCCACTTTTAATTTATATTGGCCAGTCTTCCCCAATAGGTTTTAAGAGAGAATAATAATATTAGGAAGTCAGAGGCTTCTGAAAAAGGAAAAATAAGAAAAGTTTATTAGACTCTATTATAAAATGCCAAAAATATGATAGTACCACCTACTCACCACCTACTCCATCCATACAGCTCCTGGGATTACTGACACAGTAATTAGCAATCAAGGTTACAAGGCCAAATGAAAGTTTCTAAATTCCTATTACAGATCTGATTTCAAACACACAAAGCAGCATAAAAATGTAAAAAAAAAAAAAAAAGATTCGGGCTGCACAATTGGCTAATTATTTCCTGCTATTAACAAAAACTCAGTATCAAAATAATAGTGCCAGTTTGGAAAGCACAACAAGAAAGATAAAAAATGTTGGTAATTGAAGCATCAAACCATTTAAGGTGAAAAACCGAAGGAAAATTACTTTGTGTCCTTAATTTCAATAACAATGCAACTTGATTTTTTTTATTCCAAATTGCATATATAATAATAGTTAAAGAATTATTTTCCTTTGAGATGATGGCTATGATAACCATAGGCATTCTCAAAGGCATGGTAAGAATGACTTTCAAGTCTGTGATGTTCAGAATGAATTTATCCAGTTTTCTTGAAACAATAATAAAAAGTATTGAAGACTGTGGGGCATGTACCCTGTGAGGAGGAAAAATTCAATCTATTAGCATTTGATTTGAGTGTTATTTTCTATGGCTATGTTTTGTTTTGTTATTTCTACCATATGTTTATTATATTATAAATAAATTGTCTTTAGTAAAATTTAATTAGCTGGTATTTGTAAAGCTGTCTAAAGATGGGCTTTGTATAATTGCTAAGCACTTGTTTTATTACCAAGTTTCAATATTTTCTTTGTATGCTGGCTGCATATAAGTAACATTAATTTTTAAAACTGCAATAGAAATCTCTCATTCTCCATAGCTGTGCAGAAAAAAATAAGGGTGCTGCAGAGGTGTCTGAAGCAACACTCATAAGGAGTTAATTTCTAGCTTACACAATTATGTTCAGAATTGAGATACTTATCCAGAGCATTTTAAGGCCCTGCAAAAATCATGCCCCAGTCACTGAGTCAGTGTCCTCAATATTAGCACACAGGTAAACTCAGATTTCAGAGAACAGCATTCAGGAAGAAATGCTGCACAGTGTTGAGAAGATACATAGTGTGATTGAGAACTGACCTAGGATAATCTGGTCATAGATAAAAGTAGCCACCAGAAAAATCTAAGGGGGCTAGTGTTTGCTAAGCTCCATAACTTAGCTGTCAGGTTGTAAATAAAACACACCATATATTGTTCCTAAATTCTGCTCCTCACACAGACATTTATTAGATTACTATCTATTAGCAATGCTGGCACAGAATGGGTTCATGCCACGTTGCCTACATTGGAAAAAATTCCAAATCTATGCCCTTTGGGTATTCCAACCACTTAAATTCATTTTGAAGAAGATACAGAAAAATTCCTGAGACAAGGGCTCCATCCGGCATTATGCAATCCAGAAATCCTCCCCAAACTAATAAGTAGAGGTGGAACCAGTTGGGGTATCAAGATCACAGGTCCCATCCCAGAAGAGTCCACAGAACCAGCAAGCAAGTAGTCAAATTGCATGTCTTGAATATCTTCACTTTTATAAATAAGATCCCTTTTAAAAATAAATTATGATATTTAATAAGATTAATTTTATTAATACAATAAGGTTTTATTCAGTAAAGTATCAGTTATTAATTATGTATTAATAGCAGGAATGGCAGAAGCCTGGCCTTTTATCACATTGCTAGCAGACTACCCTTTGAACCTAAAGTCCTGATAGTATCACCTAATCACATCTAGAGCTAAAATGTAAATAACCATCACACACCTACTACCACAATAACAGGAGTGAAGTGTTTTAAAGCAAATTTTAGGCATTATAGCAGGCATGCTGGGAAGCACATAGGATTTTGAACAAAGGTCCCCTTAGCAAATAGTTGCTAAGGTATTTGATGTTTCAAAAGTTATTTAACTTTTGTAGTCTCAATATATTCATCCATAAAGAAACTAAAGTAGTAATACATATTGCATAAGATTGTAATGAGAATTAATTGAATTTTTTAAAAGTGCTTTATAAATGGTAAAGCCTTACTTTAGGTTTTATAAAGGTTAAATGATCCTTAAAGGCAGCTGGAAGTACAATTGCAGGCAGAGATGAGGGATTTTCTTAGTCTTATTTTATGCCAGGTATTTCGTTAGTTGCTTTATTGAGAAGATAAAAATACATAATCCTTATAATCTTTAATGTCAAAATAGAAAACCTCTAAGTTCCATATTCCTTAATTCAGTCCTATCTAATAAAAATTATGCTTATACCAGAGATCTTAATAAGGGATCTCATTAGCAAACGTTAATGAAAAATGGTGGAATATTGTGGACTCAGATACATTGCAGGAAGCAAAATTCTGGACTGCTCACTGATAAAGACAAAATTTAGGAATGTTTAGAAGGCATTTGACCTAGAGTTATTATGAAAATACACTCTGTTTCTTGTTAGATTAAGATTCGTATCAGATTTATACCTGTTCTGTAGCTCCTCATCATAAAATATCTTGGCTTTTTTGAAGAATTTCCTTGAAGGCACATAGACTTCAAAAGCTGAAAAATCTCCTTCTCTGGAAATTAACTATTAATTATAAGGTTAAACATTGTACTTGTTTTTTCATGGAAAAAGTCTATTATAATTAACAATTGTTTTCTGCCCTCCCTAGGGGAGGATTATAATTTTATAACCTACTCATGACAGAATAGACCAATGAAACGAGAATTAAAATGACCACATTCCAGCTCAAACAGAAGCTTTTTGAGCAAGTATGTAGTTTCCCTTTGTTATGAATTTGTCAATGTTTTATATATGAATGTTTCACCAGTCTGAGGCCCAAAGAAAAGACAATATGAAGAAGAGCCATAAGCACCCTATGATGTCTCCACGGCATCAGTGAGAAAAATCTTTGCTTTTGTAGAACACTGAGATTTTAGAATCATTTGTCACTGTGGCCTATCCTGACCTGTCCTTACCCATAATCTGTAATTTCATTTGTATATAAAAGGTTTAAAATTCCATTGCCACTTTGTTAATCAGAAAGCATCATATTCTGTTTTCTTCCTTTAGGCCACATAGTGACTAAAACATTACACTGGAAAAGTAATATGATGATTTATTTTCTTCAACAGCAGCTCTACCTGCATCCAAATCAAATTGGAAGCTAGAAAAGTAGATTTCTTTTACCCTATATGAGAAAGGAGAAGAAATATCCCTGGCAGTAGGAAAGTACTAATACTTCCCAGGAAAATCCCAGGCATGCAGTAGTCACTCAATACATATTTGTGAAATAAGTGGATAAAAGGTGACACCAATGAATTCAAGGAGCAGTGACATGAAAATTGTGGTTTTTTCCCCTACAATATTAGGCAGCTCTTGTAAAATTATTGTGTAAGAAACAGCTCCCAAAGGTTAATGATTTTTTAAAAAATAATGAATTTTCTTATTCATGTGTCTGTGGATCAGAGTCTAACGGGGCTCTACTTCAAACTATAGGTTCAGTTTAGCTCTTCTCTGCATACTTCTCATTCTGAAACAGAGACTATTCACAGCATTCTCTCCTAATACCAAACAAGGGGAGCATAAGAGGGTAAACCAAATCATACAACTGTAGCTTCTGGCTGCAAACCAGTGCACATTCCATCACCCGAAGCAAGGCACATCTCCCAGCTCAGTGTCAATGAAGAGACATATTCTCTATGTACTCTACCGCAAAGCACATGGCTAAGTGTCTGGACATAAAGTTCTATTATAAGGAAAGTATAAAGAGTTAGGACAAAAATACTATCTAACACATCTATCCCAAATGACATTTTTTTCATCGAAATTTAAAAGCAACAATAAACAGCAGAAATCTCCCCTATGGTATTAGTTATATCTGTTGAGAATTCTACAATCCATCCAATTGACTGGAATCTTGACAAGCTAAGCCAGAAACCTTGAGACTAGTCCATTAAGAATTGCCTAAATTCAATAGTTGTAATAGGTTGAAATTTTGAAATTGACTAATACATGACACAGGAGTTTCTGTCGGGAATAAATAATCTTCTTAAAATAATTTAAAACTCAAGAAATATTTGGGAACTTTTAAAATATATTTTGAACAAGGCTTTGAAATCATACATATGTATTATAATTTATATATTAGTGAATGTGTATGACTTATGACTTAATGGTTAATTCTATGTGTCAACTTGGCTAAGCCATGGAATACGGATATCCAATCAAATGCCAGTCTAGATGTTCTTCTGGAGGTACTTTTTAGGTAAGACTATCACTTAAGTCAATAGCTTTTGAGTAAAGCAAGTTACTTTCCATAATGTAAATGGACCTTATCCAATCTTTTGCAGGCCTCAAGAGAAAAAGACTGAGATCCTCAGAGGAAGAGGGAACTCTGCCTCCAGAGTGTCTTTGAACTCTAGCTGCAACATTACATCTTTCTGGGGCCTGAGCCTGAGAGCCTGCCCTGCAGATTTGATACTTACCAGGCCCCCACAATCACGTGAACCAATTCCTTAAAATGAGGAATTCCTAAAGTAAGCCTTTCTCTTTGTATATTCACATATCTTATTGGTTCTATTCCTCTGGAGAGCCCTTAATAACCCAGTGGCCAACATTATTTATGAATGTCAGAAAAATTATGAAATAGAAGTTAACTACAAATGTAACAAAGTTACAGAATGGTTAATGCTTATAAAAGATTTTTCATTTTAAACATAAAGAAGTAAAGTATCCACTTTTAATTAATTGACAATCAAAAAGAAGTAGATGAAAAATGCAGACACAGCATAATCATCAATTCTACTTTCTTCATAAAATTCTTTGAATTATAGAAAAATATTTTAAATAGATTAAATACAGAATATCAATGGAATAAAATTATAGGATATCACTAATAGAACAGAAAATTTGAGGACCACCTGAAAAGTGAAATAAAAATATAATAGACTGTGACTAGAAACCAAATAATGTCACAAAGATGAGGAAAATTAGAATCTAAGTTCAAACAGTTATAAATGATTCTCAAGACTCAGAGTCAGGTTGCTCAAAAAGCCAGAGAGGATCCTAGAGAAATCACTTAAAAACAACTATATACTTTTTAAAACTTAGCATTTCTTCTTTCTTCCTAGTGTGGGCATAGGACTCAGAAAGAAGAGCAGAGCAGAGCTTCAGTCAACTTCAGATTCTGACATGAGTTACAGTGAAGGTGGAGGGTGGGGATAGGGTTGGAAAACAAAGAAAGGTGGCCCTGACAGAAAGAAAATAATCTAAAGTGCTTCAGAGCCAAGGCAAACCTCCTTATTCTGGCAACTGGTGGAAGTGCAGGGTAAGGTTCTCAGTCTTTCCATGACAATTTTCCCCAACATACATTAAAGTGAAGCTTGCCTGTTGCTCTTCCCACAAAAATAGAAATGCCACAGCCAGCCCAAGCAATTAGAAGAGAGGAATGTTGGTGACAGACAGACTTACATATCTGGAAATAAAATGCCTTTCATTGCCTTTATTAATCTACCTAGTCCTTCATTCCTAAATCAGATTGGCAGACAAGTGCCACTAGACTTTTAAAGAAAAGCAATAGGCTGGGTGTGGTGGCTCGCACCTGTAATCCCAGCACTTTGGGAGGCCAAGGTGGGTGGATCACCTGAGGTCAAGAGTTCGAGATCAGCCTGGCCTACCTGGCAAAACCCCGTCTCTACTAAAAATATAAAAATTAGCTGAGCGTGGTGGTGCATGCTAGTAGTCCCAGCTACTTGAGAGACAGGCAGGAGAATCGCTTGAATCCAGGAAGCGGAGGTTGCAGTGAGCTGAGATCACACTACTGCACTCCAGCCTAGGCGACAGAGCAAGACTCCATCTCAAACAAACAAACAAAAAGAATAAAAAGAAAAGCAATAAACTAAAATAGAATGATCAAGATAAACAAATAAGAAGAGTTGATTTTGGAAAAAAAAATTTCAAGGAAAACAGAAATTTTCATAATAATTTAATTAACAGCTTCAGAGAAAAACTAAATATGATTAACAATTTTCATTGCAATTGCAATGATAAATATAAAGTGTCTGTACTGTAGAATAAATTGCTAAAATAAAAAAGGCAACTAAAATTAGAAATAAAAATTAGAAGAAAGATTAAATAGAAAAAGGAAATGGCTAAATAACAAATTAAGGATCTGAAAAATAAAATAAATCCTAGTAAGTCACAATTAATAAAGAGCAACATGACAACAAAATTTAAAGTGTAAATAAATGAAGCTTCATAGAGAGCAATCCAAGATACCCATTTTCCATCTAAAGGGAGTTTCAAATGAAAGAATTCAGAAAACCAAAGAAAGGAAATAATAGAAAACTTTTCCACTGAGCTAAAAAGGACATCAAATATTATATTTAAATTGTCACTAGGTGCCAAATAACAGGAATCTTAAAAAAAATAGACATATTCTGATTTACCTAAGAACTCAAGGAATAAAGAAAAAAAATCTAAAATCCACCCTTAAAATAATCAAATTACAAAAACTTTTAAAGAGATTTGTGTTAGATTTCTCAGAGGTGCCTATATTCTAGAATGAATGGAGTAATATCTTCAATCTTTTGGAAAAAAAAAACCTAGAATATACTTTTGAAACAAGAATTCTGTACTGAGCCAACATTTTGGTCAAATAGATGAGCAAATTATTACATATTAAGACATAATTGAAGAATTTCTGCAGCAAAGTGAAATATAATCAAGAAAAATAATATGTGAAATTTAAGAGAGGATGCAAAGTGAGAACTCCAATAAAAACAGTGAAGTTGTAATAAATTTTGATGCATAATACCAATGATAATACATGAACCTAAAGTCCAAGATGATTATTACATAGAAAATTGTGCAGAGGCAGATGGAAGAGAAGTTCCCCATTAAGTAAAACTTTGCAAAGACTCTCAGATTGGATTTTGATCAGATAGAGAACACAAATGTTAATTAACCCTAGACATTGTTGAAAAAAAGATTAAGCTTCAAAATCAAAAGTAATTATTGGAAACCTAGAAATATAATGTATAATTTTTAAAAGTTGACTCAACAACATTTCAAAAACATGAATTAAATAATAACCATAGAAAAATATGAAAAGATATCCTACGATCTGCCTATACAAATATTAGGCTCAGAAATTTTACGAGCAATTTGTAGCAAACATTTAGGGTCAGATAAGGTTTCTTTTACAATATTTAAATCCCTGCCCCTAATTTCTTTGTGGTATTTAATTAACAACTTCTATGACAGTAAGAAATGAAACTATAAAGACCTAAGAGTAAATTAATGTGGAGTGAAGGGATTTCCAAGAGATTAAATGGTAGAATTCTAGAAATTGAGATCAGTGCAATATGGACATAAGGGAAAGGTAGAAGTTACATATGATTCGCAATTCTAATGATAATTGTTGGATGCCATTTACTTCGAAAACACAGGAAAGGAGTGTTTTGGGTAGATAGAGGGGAGATGTTAAATTCTAGTTAAATATGATAAATACTAGAATCAAGGAGTATGACATTTGAAGGCTCTGATCATTAACATCAAATCTCATATTACC